TAGGTATTTTGAATAGTTCAGTAATGAACAGAACATTGTAAGTAACTGCAATGTGATGAATTGGAATTCTTCATATATGTAGCCAGTACAGGTACAGATGGGACATATGGAATGACCACTCCTCATCTGCTTCAACCAGCACAGGTTCCTAGGCATCTATTGCAAGAACTTATTCTTTAACCCATCAAAATACTAAGGACTGACAGTGTCTCTCTCACTTTCTCCACAATCTGTTGATATTTTGTCTGGTCAGTTCTTAGGTGACATTTTTCTTGCGTACAACAGTAATCTCTTTCACACACTGCTAACACTGAAAAAGGTCAAGAATAGGCTCAGACTGTGAGATATTTGGCAAAATCAACTTCTTTATTCCAGGACACACCTACAGCTAAGGCCAAGGCTGAGTTCTGCCAGAACATCCAACACCCCACCTGCCCACATACGACCATGTACACCCACCTTTCTCCTCTATTCCTACTCTCACTTTCCCGGTTCAAGGATCAAAGTCGACCACAGCCAAACCTGGTCAGGACTCGATCAAAAAGTCCTTCCAATGTTGTATCAGAAAACACTAGAAAACTAACATGTCAATAAACAATGGGCCATAATCAAAACAGAAAATTGTTCTCTGTCTTCATTAAAGCCCTTGAATTAAGAATGTGAGAATTTCTGTGGTTTTCATACATCCAGAGAATATTGCCAGTGCAAAGAGACTACACCTTCAGAATACATCTGTTGCCACCTTAGGGGAGAAATATCCACCTGGTGACACTACAGAATTTCACATCATCTGTTGGAAATTATCTTGTTGGGTTGTTTTTCTCAGATAATCTCTATACCTGTTCAAAATGAACCATCATGCACTTTGATATGCAGAGCACAGGAAAGTGATCCACACTGGATGATGGATCATCTAAACTTACAGTCACATGTCCCTACCTGCTTTACCTCATCCAAATATATTTCAAATTTTTAAAAATCCCACAAACACTAGGCAATTATGAAAGCCTGATAGGTTGATAGATGTCAAAAGGCAGTTATGCACATTTACTGTTTTGTGCTGCCCAAAGTCAAGTGACTTCAATGTGCAACAGAAAAGAGAACAGGGTGACAGAATGAAGAAGCATTGGTATCAAATGAAGAGGCATTTCACACAATTTCTAGACATCATTTTTTGTTTTTCCCAACAAGTTTTCTTTGTATAACAGCACTACCTGTCCTGGAACAACACTTTGTAGAGGTACAGGGTCTGAAAATCTCAGAGATGCATCTGTGTCAGCCTCCAAGTGCTGGGATTCAAGGTGTGTGACACCACACTTGGTTATCCACTAACCAATTGTTTTAAAAATGAAAGTATGCTAATGAAGACTAGAGTGAAGCTGTCTTTGGGGTTCACATCTGTACTCCTCATGTGGAGGTCATGGGGGAAGAGTAGCAAGTCAAGCAAGGAGACCAAATCACAAACACGCTAATGAACGTAGTAAACATTAGTTTGAATTGGAAGTCAAGCGACGCATCAGAAAAGTAAAAGGCCCCAAAATGATACTAAGATGTGTATCAGTGGGTGGTATTGATCTTAAAATCATCAACAAGTCAGATTAGAAAAAACTGAAGCACTCCATATCAGAACATGAGATTCTCCATGTTGAAAATCAATCAGAAAAAGCACTTCTGTGGAATGTTCGAAGAGGATGTCAGACCACGTTGTTCAAGGTTTAGTCAATCAATACTCCATGTCATTGCTTAAGAATAATTAATGGAGAGAACCATACTAAAACATAATCTAAATCAATATTATCAACACAGCATTTATAAGGTTACAGTGAAGATGTTAACCAGGAACCACAGCATTCGTGCATTATGGGACAACTGGGTGCACATGGATTACCTGGTCCTAGAGTTACATGGGCTCCCTATTGCCACTGTCCTTTCTCTAACAGAGGACGATGTGAAGAATAGAATACTCAGTAATCTAATTGTACAATATCATAGTTTCTATAAATTGAAACAGTTCTGAGAATTCTGGAACGCCTTTCTGGGGCCAAACAGGCTGTCAGTTTTGTTGGTCTATGTTACTATGCATTCCTGCTTTGTGTCCTAACTTCATGCTGAACTGAACAAAACAATCAGCTAAATGTTATATATGTGGTAACACATTCATATAATGCCATGAATGCACTTTATCACTTCATAGCAGAGAGACTACCCATCTATAGTCTCAATGACAAGAAGAGTATGGACAAAAGGATGTATAGAAGAAAATGCCCCCACAATCACATTTCAGAGGATCAGAGTCACAGTTCTATAAAACTAGAGCTTAAACAATGAGAGAACTTCATTTCTAATATCTGAACTTTGTCTGATCACTTCAACATTGTTGTCCAAATTTGATATTGTACCATATGGAACTGAGACATTGATAACCTCCTCCACACTGCATCCTGCTAGGCTAAAATCCCAAAGAAAAGTCAAGGATGCGAGGTATCCTGCCCTGTCAGGAAAGGTCACCTGTAAGGATCTGAAATGTGCCTTTGTTTTGCCTTTCTTATAAAGACTGTGGCCTTGCTTCTTCCAGCACACACTTGGGAGCAACTCCAGAACCTCTTCCAAGATGCTGGTGGTCCTGCTCACAGCAGCCTTATTGGCCCTGAGCTCTGTTCAGAGCTCAAATGCAGGTATAAAGTAGGAGAGAGGGTAGTAGAGAGACATAGGATTTGGGCGACACACTGAAGTTCAGGACTGGGAGGATTGGGGGGAAATGACATGCAACTGAGGCAAAGAAATATGGGAACAAATATTAGAACATTTATATCATTATTTTGCTTGTAGATTTCAGGTTTAAATAAAGCAAAATTTAAGAAAATATTCTTGCAACAAAATAATATAAGTGGATTTGTGAAAAGATGTTTTTGGTGGTGGATGATGTATGGCAATAAGTTACAGTTGACAGAGAGGAACTCAGTACTCAAGGTGTTAGAGAAGCAGATAGTGAATGATGCTAGGCTTGGTATACAGAGGGTAGAGAAAAATGAAAGAAGTAAATACGTATTAGGCATATCTTTGAGAAATAGAAATAGGAAAATATAATAAATTTGAAACTCTGTTTACAAATAACTAGAAATTTCAGGAAATAATTTCTTTTAAAAATCATTTCTGTGTATGTCTGTGCATGCACCACTGTGTGTGAATGTATGTGTATGTATGTGTGTGCATGTACATATGTATGTGTATGTATGTGTGTGTATGTACATATATGTGTGTGTGTATGTGTGTGTGTGTGTGTACAATGTGCATTTGAGAAAGCGAAAGGTAGGCATACACACACACACACACACACACACACAAAGAGTGAGAGAGGCAGAGACAGAGTTAGACAGAGACAGGGACAGAGAGACAGAGAGAGAAAGAGAGAGAATTTGAATGCTTATTCACAGTCCTGCCTGAGGACAACCTTTTAGCACCAAGCTATCTTTTTATAGCTTGTGGCTCCAGGAACTGAATTCAAGTCAACAGGCAAGCACTTTTTTCCTCACTGAGATATCTGGCTGGACCCATTTCTCTATTGTAATGACACACATGCAATGTTCATTCTTATACATGGCTTTAAAGCAATGTTTGTTCTTATTTCCATGCATGAAATGCCTAGGGATATACCCGGTAAGAAATGAACGTCATAAAAAAAAAAAAAAAAACATAAGACTGTGAACACATTACCGTGAAATTCCCCTAATGTAAAGGAGACAGACAGTAAGGATGGACACAGCTAATGAGGAACAAAGTAATGGTTGCTGCTGCCATGGAGACTATCCTGGCAGCATTATCAGCAACATTATGCAAGATTAAATTCTGCATAGTGGATGTGAAGTGGTAGTTTAAAGTCATCTTTATTGAGCATCCAGAAAATGTCATGAGTAAATTTTCATTTATTTTGTGCTTCTTTTCTAGCAATCATCTATGGAAACCCTTCTTCGCAGCTCCTAGGTAAAACCAGATTCTTCCTCTATTGACATTCTATGTATCCTTTATTCTATAACTATTCAGTTGTATAATATCTCGTTAACATTTTGTTATTCTATGAAAGGAATGATTGACAGCTTCCCCTGTGGTATATGGGAAGACTACCCAACAATGCTTCTAGGAACTGGAGCAGGGCTGTACAATGGAAGAGTAGGAAGCCAGGTTTTTATAACAGGAACATTTTTGTCTGTTCCACAGATTGAAGTAATGGCTTGCATATGATGAACACATTCGGGGTCCTAATTTAAAATCTCCGGTAGCACTATAGGTTGTTTGTAGAATTCTTCTTTCACCAGTGACTCCAAGGAGAATTATATGATTGATCAGAAGATATGCAATCACACAGATCCAATGCTCTCCCACTATAAAAATTTATTTTTCTCTGGTCTGTATGCACAGTTAAATAATACATACAAAAACACTGCAAGAAAATTGAATGGAACATCTTCCCATTGCTATCCTACATTTCGTTCTTGTTCTCCACATGGTTATAGGACTCTAAACATCATGAGATATTTAAGAATAGAGCATTGCTCTCACAATTTTGCTACTCTGCCAACTTCTAAATAATAACATTAAAAAATTCTTCCCCTTTCTTCGTGTCTGAGAAATATAAAGAACACAAAGTCATCTTTAATGCACCGATTTTGAGAACAAATATATGTCAGAAGAGTGGAGACATAAGGAAGTTCATATGATAAATGTGAAAAATAATCTTAAAGGAGAATCAGGGACATAATATTGTGAGGGTGTTATCAGAGAAAGAGAAGGTATAAACTCATTCTACATTGATCTGTACCCAAACAGAGGGAGAACAGCAAAACCAAGGCCATGGTCAACAGCATCAGAGACCCCCTCCTGGAGAATTCCCCCCAGGCCCTTCTGCCTCTGAGGAAGATGATGGTGAAAATGCTGATGACAGTGAAGAACAGGGAAATGCACCAGAGGGACCACCACAAGAAGGAGACAATAACCAGCAACCTCGCCCTCCTAGACCTGGAAACCAGCAAGGCCCACCCCAGCAGGGAGGCCAGCAGCAGAATAAACCTCCTAGACCTGGAAACCAGCAAGGCCCACCCCAGCAGGAAGGACAGCAGCAGAACCAGCAAGGCCAACCCCAGCAGGGAGGACAGCAGCAGAACCAGCAAGGCCCACCCCAGCAGGGAGGACAGCAGCAGAACCAGCAAGGCCCACCCCAGCAGGGAGGACAGCAACAGAATAAACCTCCTAGACCTGGAAACCAGCAAGGCCCACCCCAGCAGGGAGGACAGCAGCAGAACCAGCAAGGCAAACCCCAGCAGGGGGGACAGCAACAGAATAAACCTCCTAGACCTGGAAACCAGCAAGGCCCACCCCAGCAGGGAGGACAGCAGCAGAACCAGCAAGGCCCACCCCAGCAGGGAGGACAGCAGCAGAATAAACCTCCTAGACCTGGAAACCAGCAAGGCCCACCCCAGCAGGGAGGACAGCAGCAGAACCAGCAAGGCCCACCCCAGCAGGGAGGACAGCAGCAGAACCAGCAAGGCCCACCCCAGCAGGGAGGACAGCAACAGCATAAACCTCCTAGACCTGGAAACCAGCAAGGCCCACCCCAGCAGGGAGGACAGCAACAAAATCGCCCTCCTAGACCTGGGAATGAACAAGAACCACCCCAGCAGGAAAGTGAGGAACAGCAAAGTTCCCCGTAGACATTTTCTGCATAACCACAAAGTTCCTCATCAGGACAAAGGTAATCTGATAGTTTATCCTTCACACCAGTCCCCAAATGCCATGGATCAGCACAGTCCTCCTAAAGAATTAGATCACATATACATCCAAAACTTAAATGGACTCTATACCCTAGAATTCTATGATGGATGTGATTTACCTTCACTCTCCATCAAAGTCTTAACTCTACCAGAATTAGAAAGCCAAAAATCTAAGAAGTATCTCAGAATATATTGATACTGCATGTTGTGTCTTTCTTCTTGGTGACCTTATTTATTTATTTGTTTGTTTGTTTGTTTATTTATTTCAGGTGAACTGGAAGACTTACCTTTAGTGTCTTTTCAATGAAACAATGATGTTGTAAGTTTACCTTCAACTCTCTAATAAAATATTTAGCATGCAATTACTGTTTGCTGTTTCTTATTTTGAGTATGAGTGAGTGAAATCTGGTGCTTGTTGCCAAACGTAATGTGAAGATAGAACCATTCCCTTTAGTTACTTCCAGAAAGTGGCCCTCTTTCTCCCTTACAAAGGGGCAAACTATCACTTGAGAGATCCCCTCTTTTCCATCCATGGAATTCTGCCTACAGCTTTGCTGTATGTCCCAGATGCCTGCAATGTTAGCAGGAGACTTCATGATAGACAAGGATTTCAAGATTAAACTGTATAAACAGATTGAGCTACATAAAATGCCCTTAGTTAGTCATGTGCATGGTTTGACCAGTAGGCTAAGGAACATTTGTCTAGGAGTAACTGAAAAAGATATTCTTTGGCCGAGTCGCGTTGGCATCACACAACTTTAATCCCAGGACTTGGGAGGCAGAGGCAGGCTGATCTCTGTGAGTTCGAGGCCAGCCTGGTCTACAAAGTGAGTTCCAGGAAAGGCACAAAATTACACATTGAAACCCTGTCTTGGAAAAGAAATAAAAAAAAAAGGTAGTCTTTGTTTCTCTCAGTTCACAACCGACTAGTGTGGAAGTTCCTGTTCCTACAGCTAGTATTCTTTTAGGCATTCAAGTATCAACTAGCTCACATTCTTCCTCTGATTTGACTGGTCTATAATGCAATGGTGTCATTGGGACATGATGTTCATTGTTTTCATTGCCCTTTTTCATTTTTTATTAATATTGTATACCTAGACCTTAGGAGCAAATGAAATTTTTAAGTAGTTTAAGTAACTTTTAGAACTTGAAGCATGATCCTAACTAGTCTTATCAATAAAATACAGGAGTCAGATATTGGGCGAAAAGCTGATCTTGCCTTTAAGAGCTGAATTTCCACTTCCTGTAAATCAGCATTTTCAAAAGCCACAGATTAAATTATTATATGCCCATCTTCTGAATTTGGTGTCATTCTAGTTATGGCTGAAGTCAATCTTCTTTATTAAGCAGTGTTCATCTCATACTCTCTCTTTAAAAATCCATTTTACATACCAACCACAATTCCCCTACCACACCTTCTCCTGCTACCCTCAACCCGTCAATACCCCTTCAGCCCACCCTCATCCACTCCTCCCAAAAGGTAACGCCTCCCATAGAGAGTCAAAAAGCCTGGTACATTGCGTTGAGGCAGGACAAAGACCCTACCCTCTGCATCAGGATGAGCAAGGCATCCCACCATGAGGAATTGGCTTCAAAAAGCCAGCTCATCTGCCAGGGATAGATCCTGGTATCCCTGCCAGGGTTCCCTCAAACAGACAAAGATACAAAACTGTCTCCTACATTCAGAAGGCCTAGTTCAGTCTCAGGCAGGCTCCCAGCTGTTGATCTAAAGTCCATGGCCTCCCACAAGCTTGGTTCATCTGTCTCCATAGGTCTCCCCATCATGATATTAACACCTCCTTGCTCACATAATCCCTCCTCCCTCTCTTCCACTGAACTCACAGATCATGGCCTGGTACTTCTTGGCTGTACACTTCTGCATCTTCCTCCATCAGTTGCTGGATGAAGACTCTGTGATGACAGTTACGATATTCATCAATCTGATTACTGGGGAAGGCCAGTTCAGGCACCCTCTCCACTATTGGTAGTAGTCTTAGCTGGGGTCATCCTTGTTGATTCCTAGGAATTTCCCTAACTCCACAATGGCTCTCTCTATCAAGATATATTTTTGTTGCTATACTACAACGACCCTCCCCCAGCTTGACCATACATTTCCCTCATGATCTCATCCCCCATCTCCTCTCCTCTACCACTTCCCTCCCCCCACATCCAGTTTTCCCACGAAACCTCATCATTTTCACCTTCCTGGAGCGATCCATGTGTGCCTCTTAGGGTCCTATTTGTTACTTAGCTTCTCTGGATCTGTGCTTGTAGTCTGAGTATACTTTGCTTTACATCTAGTATCCACTTATGAGTGATCACACATCATGGTTGCATTTCTAAGTCTGGTTTAGCTCACTCAGGATGATTATTTCTAAATCCATCCTTTGTCTGCAAATTTCTGGATGTCATTGTTTTTGCACCTGAGTAGTACTCCATTATGTAAATGTACCACATTATCTTTATCCATTCTTCAGCCGATGGACATCTAGGTTGTTTCCAGGTTCTGGCTATTCTGAATAGTGCTGCTATGAACTTATTTGAGCAAGTGTCCTTGTAGTATGATTGAGTATCCTTTGGGTATATGCCCAAGAGTGATATGGTTGGGTCTTGAGGTAGATTGATTCCTGGTGTGCCAAGCAATAGCCATACTAATTTCTAAAGTGGCTGTACGAGTTTGCACTCCCAGCAGCAGTGGAGGAGTGTTCTCTGAACTCCACAGCCTCTCCACCATAAGCTGCCCTCAGTTTTTTGTTTTTCTTTTATTTTTTAATTTTTTTGAAAAAAATTTATAATTAATTTAATTTTACATATCAACCACAGATTGCCCTGTCCTCCCTCCTCCCAACCCTCAGTCTTCTCCCCCAATCCACACTCCATTCCCACCTCCTTCAAGGCAAGGTCTCCCCTGGGGAGTCAGCCCAGCCTGGTAGATTCAGTTGAGGCAGGTCTAGTCCACTCCTCCCTACACCAATGCTGAGCAAATTGTCTCAGCATAGGCCCTAGGTTCCAAAAAGCTGGCTCATGCACCAAGGACTTGTCCAGGTTCCACTGCCTGGGAGGCTCCTAAACAGTGCAAGCTAATCAACTGTCTCATTTATACAGAGGGCCTGGTCCAGTTCCATTGGCACTCCTCAGCTATTGGTTCACACTTTATATCTATCCACTAGTTTAGCTATTTGTCCCTGTGCTTTTTCCAATCATAGTCTCAATATCTCTTGCTTATATAATTCCTCCTCTCTCTTGCTTATTGGAATCCTGGAGCTCCACCTGGGGCTTGGCCGAGGATCTCTGCATCTGCTTCCATCATTCACTGGATGAGAGTCTATTTTATATTTTTATCTTAGCCCTTCTGACAGGTGTAAGATGGTATCTTAGAGTGTTTTTTATTTGCATTTTCATGATATCAAAGGATTATGAGCATTTCCTTAAATGTTTTTCAGCCATTTGAGATTCATTTGTTGAGATTTTCCTGTTTAGCTCTGTACCCCAATTTTTAGTTGATTTTTGGTATTTTTATGTCTACTTTCTTGAGTTCTTAATATACTTTGGAGATCAGTCCTCTGTCAGATGTGGGGTTGGTTAAGATCTTTTGACATTTGAAGGCTGTAACCCTTTTGTCTTAATGACCATATCATCTGCCTTACAGAAGTTTCTTAGTTTCAGGAGGTCCCATTTATTAATTGTTGGCCTCAAAATCTGTGCTACTGCTATTATATTTAGGAAGTGGTCTCCTGGGCCAATGCCTTTGAGCCTACTTCCCATTTTTTCTTCTATTACATTCAGGGTAACTGGATTATGTTGAAGTCTTTGATCCACTTGTACTTGAGTTTTGTGCATGGCAATAGTTATGGATCTATTTGTAATCCTCTATATGTTGACATCCAGTTATGCCAGCACAATTTGTTGAAGATGCTTTCATTTTCCATTGTACAGTTTTGGCTTCTTTGTCGAAAATCAGGTACTCCTAGGTGTGTGGATTAATGTGAGGGTCTTCAATTCTATTCATTGGCCCACATGTCTGTTTTTATGCCAATACAAAACTGTTTTTATTACTATAGGTCTACAGTAGAGCTTGAAATCAGGGATGGTGATTCCTCTGGAAGTTCCTTTATTGTAAAGAATTGTTTTAGCTATCCTGTTTTTTTTTTCCATATGAAGTTTAATGTTGTACTTTTGAGGTATGTAAATATTTATGCTGGGATTTTGATGGGATTGTTATGGGTAGCTTGCCATTTTTATTATCTTGATCCTATCTGTCCATGAGCATGGGAGATCCTCCCATTTTCCTCAATTTCTTTCTTCAAAGGCATAAAGGTCTTGTCATACAGGTGTTTCACACATTTGGTTAGAATTACTCCAAGATATTTTGTATTACTTGTGGTTGTTTTAAGGGTTGATGTTTCTCTGATTTCTTTCTCTTCTCAGTTATCTTTAGGGCTACTGATTTTTTTATTTAATCTTGAATCCTGCCTCATTACTGGTGTAGTTTATCAGTTGTAGAAGGAGTTTCCTGGTAGGCTTTTGGGGGTCACTCGTGTAAACGATCATAATTCCTGCAAATAGCAAAAGTTTGATTTCTCCCTTTCAAAATTTTATCTACTGTACCTCTTTTTGTTGTTTTATTGCTCTAGCTAGAACTTTGAGTACTGTATTCTATAGATTTGGAAAGAGTGGACAGCCTTGTCTTGTTACTAACTTTAGTGGAATCATTTTCGGTTTCTGTCTATTTAATTTGATGTTGGCTGTCAGCTTGCAATGACATTGCATTTATTATATTTAAGTATGTTCCTTGTATCCCTGATCTCTACAACAATTTCATCAGGAAGCAGTGTAGGATTTCGTCAAAGGCTTTGTCAGCA